ATGTACGTGAAAAACGTATCTTACCATAAATAGCCACTCTCTTGGAGTATCGCTATATTTTTTATCCATTCTTCGTCGTTCGAGTGGTGCAATCAGAGTGAGTAATGTGATTGGCCGGGATAATGGTTCACAGCTCCACTGCGACAATTTCGTGTTTGGTAGTACGCCAAAGTATAATTTCTATAATATATTTTTTGTAATAATTTTACCTTGACGTACTACCAATCAGCACGTTTTTAGCAGTTCAGCTGAACTTAACCACTTTTTAGATATCAACTTGTGACAGTACCATAGAGCGAAGTATGAGGAGGCTTTGCCTCTAAGAATTATATAATGGGGCACAGAGCGTCCTGCCGTTTCATAGGAAAGAGATTAAAAAGTTGACCTAGAAAATAACGATAATGGTTTCACTGGCAGTACGCCAAAGTATAATTTCTATAATATGTTTTTTACCCTGACGTACTACCAATTAAGGCTGAAGTATACTATAACAATAACTCTTACTCTGTGGCGCTTCGTCGTTGGTAGTACACCAAAATATAATTTTTATAGTATATTTTTTGTAATAATTTTACCTTGACGTATTACCAATTAAGGCCGAAGGATACTATAACAATAACTCTTACTCTATGGTAGTACGCCAAAATATAATTTCTATAATATTTTTTTGTAATAATTACCTTGATGTACTACCAATTGAGGAATAACTCTGTGGTAGCTTTCCGAATGGAAAAATTTTATAATATATTTTCTATTAATTATACCTTGAGGTACTACTAATTGTATGGTAGTACACCAAAGATATTGTCCTTAAATTATGTTAACTATTCTGATTATATGGTGGAAGAGTCGGGGCCCCGACTTTATTAAAACCAGTCCCACTGTAGGGTTTGCGGTCTATCCAATAACTTTGTACCCATGTTTGTTGATTTTTAGGTCTTCTCTTTTTCGCCCACTCTTGATAGTATAACCGCACCAATTTCCTACTATTGCATTAATAAATTTTATTGTAGCGTTGAGATTAGGCGGCTCTTTAGCTCGAGACTTAAATCCGAAAAGCAACAATGCTTCTTGACGAATATTGATAATTTTTTTCGATTGACTGTTCGAATGCTTTTGCAACATCTTCATCTGAAAGAATTTTTGCATCATCAATGTCACAAAATTCTAAGATCTGAAACAAATCGTGTACCTCCCGAATAAGGAAAGCAGGTACGAATTAATGCAAGGAAGGAATGGATGTATATTCTTGATCGTTCCAAAATCGTAAGCAAATTATGTGAACCCGTTGGTGATATAGAAGAATTTTCAGACACCCCAAAAGATAACCCAACCATTAATAATTTAACAGCCATTCAATCGATATTCGACGTACCTGAAATTGTGTCGCCCTCAACCAGAGCAAGAAACGCCAAAAATTGTTGTAGAGTCAGCTAAGTTTATGACTCGAAGAGCCGCCCCTAAAGGGCCTGAAGCTAGCGATAATCATACCCCACTAGAGACTGATTTCAGGTACAAAATATTCTATTCTGCAAAAGAAATCGAAGAAACGGGGCTTCGGCGTGAGCCGGCTAAGTGCCGAGTCTTCGACTCATCTACTAATAATGTAACACGCGCTTCTCCTGAAAATACCCTATCTGTAAATAACGTTTCTCAACCCAGTAAAACTTGCAACAACTCGCAGAGCGAGAGCGCTTACGTGCCAGAAAATACATCCCAACAGATATCGTTACCTCCAGGATATATACCCCGTGAGGAGCGTGAAGCGTCTCAGAGAATGGGCCATCGATCACGGTGAAGATCCAGATAGATTTATGACAATAACTGAGAAAGATAGAAATTTATCAAGGATATACCGAGATAGAATTATGTCCGATGCAGAGATAATAGACTTTGCACGAGATCAAAACCTCAATCCAGAAGAATTAATGGATATGTCCAGACGCGAACGATTGATAAGTGAAGAGATATATCTCCGTGAATGGAAGGATGAGGGTACCCCTCGATCACATGTCTATAATGACGAAGAATGGATAAAAAATATAGCGATACTCCAAGAGAGTGGCTATTTATGGTAAGATACGTTTTTCACGTACAT